CCCCGTCCCGGCGCGCAGAGCCCCCGGCCGCGGCCGGTCCGTTCCAGGCTGGCTGTGCCTGGACTGGTGCCGCTTCCGGCGCCTGGTCTGCGTGTTTTGAATCCCGCTTTTCCCTCTTCAAGGGCTTCCCAAGGTGCCTGGGCGCGCTGGCGCGGGGCTGCGCGGTGCGGGGAGGCCGCGGGCGGCGGCCAGGCCTCGGCGCGGCTCCCGCGCGTTCTCGCCTTGCTTTGCGCTTAGCGTCGCTTGCGTTTCGCCTCGTGTTTGTTGCTGTAACTAGTTTTCTTGTGTTTGTGTCTGGAAAGCCATAGGCCTTAGCTTGCTTCGAGGGTCTCGGGCTATACTGAAAACAGCTCGGGACAAATCCTTCCCTGGCAAACTTGGAACCACGCTGGATTTTCAGTTCTTAAGTGATCTGTTTCAGCGCGTTAATGAATCACAGAGCCACAAGCAGGAGGGCTCATGGTGCGTTTCTGGCCGTGCATCAGCGCAGGGTGAACAGCACGAGTGGGAATGGGAGACGCGTGTCCGTGCAGGCCGTCTGCGCAGCCTCCAGCCCCGGACAGCCCTGGGTGTGCTGCGCAGCTCACGTGTGCGCTGCAAGGATAAACGGCACCGCAATCCTGTGTGCAATGAGTGCAGCCCGATTCTTGTCACAGCTCCAACTGATGCAGGGAACAACTTCCTCTTCTTTGGGAGCTGGCTTTTTTTTTTTTTTTTTTTAAAAAAAAACAAACTTTTTAAATATATATTCCAGCTCTCCTCTTTAGCTTAAACATTTCCAGCTACGTTAATCTTTTCCTGTACATTGTGTATTTAAGCCCAGATAATTCTTGATCCCCTTTTCTGGTCTCTTTCCAATTAGTTCACATGCTTGAGCCAAATTGAAGGGCAGCATTGCACCTGGATGGAGCACTGCAGCCGAGTCCTGGGTGGTACCAAGTGGCACGGGAGGTTTATGTGCCGCTCCAGGTGTATTTCTGCTCATGCATCCTGGTTTGCAGGCATTGTGAGAAGTGACAAACACTGCTGGCATATTCAGCTTCTGTTCCACGTAGTCGCAGGTCTTTTCTTGTACAACTAATACCTGGCAAGTTTTTCTGCATGACCTTGCAGCCAAGATGAAAGTAGTTTCAATTTAATATTAAATAGGACCCAGTTCACAAGCCAAATCTTTATCACATAAGAAAGTACATTTTTTCTGACTCTAATGAGGACCAGCCTGTGTAGTTCTAGGATTGGTAGCAGAAGATATTCCTGGCTTGTCTTTTCCTTTTTGATCTTTAGCAGTAGTGTGTTTATTCCATAGGGATGCAGGGCACAGATCACCCTGAAATAGATGCGGAGAGGTCTGGCCTTAGTAAATAGGATTTGAAAATATATTTGGGCCACACAGTAACATCCATCTTAGCTGTGTTGTCCCTCTGTGTCCCAGGGTTTAGTTCACCCCACCCTTCAGTCCTTCACAGGCCGTAGCAAAAAGTAGGACTCTGTGTGGGACACTTTGTGCCACCGAGCATTTTTCTCATTCAGCGGATAGAATCTTTAATAAATTCATAAGCTAAATGTCGCATCCCTTTTATAAATGTCACAGCTGTCTCTCACTTAGAGCTTTTTTCTTCGTGCGTCACTGCGATGTTTGAGCACTTTTCTGATGTATAAATTACAACTGTATGACAGTACATGTGCTGGAGTTCTTAAAATTTTACAGCACTACTTTCTCAGGTTTTCAATCCTTCACCTTCCTCGTGAAGAGTGCCTTGAACCAGAGCTTTGAAAGAAGTTCCAGCATCAGTTTACTCTTTCCGTGGAGCTTAAGAAGCTCGATTCACCTGATGTCCTCAGTCTTGTGTGTTGTATAATTTGCATTAAAGTGTAGTAGCCTTCGTGTTGTATCTGTGTTATGCTGTTGAATTTCAACATAATTTGCATTAAAGTGTAGTAGCCTTTTAGTCTTTGAAATGACTTAGAGTGGGCTTTTCCTTTTCAGATGTTTCTCCCTAAATTTTTATTAATGAGGGATGTTAACCCTTTGGCAGAGCTTTCAGAGACACCTTTTTTTTCTTTTTTTAATTATTGTTATGCCAGTAGCTAGAACGAATCCATGACTTGTGGTATCAAATCATAATTAATAAATTATAGTTAGAAATAATCTATTGTGTATCTCAAAGTTATTACAAGTCCCGATTATTAACTCATTTTAAAATTTGCTTCCCTATCCACCTTTTTAATAAGGGGAAATACTGTAGAGGTATTTTTGTTCTTATTATTCTTGGAATACTTGATTTGTTTTAGGTGCTGCAATTCAATGTGACCAATTGAAAGTATTCCAGAGAAGATGAAAAAGAGCTTTATTATTTTTTTCCCCCAGAAAAGAAGACTTAAAAGCAGAAGTTAGAAAATCAGAATTACATTGCTTTAAAAAATAAGGGTGGAAGAAAGAAAGGAGACTTTGAATTCGTATGGCTGTTACAGAGAACATCCTTCAGTGATTTCCCATGTGCACAGGGTATAAAGGACAGAAAAAGCAGCTTTCTATCCAAGTTTCAGGCGAGTACAAGGAAAAGCTTCAAAGCCTTGGACCAGGAAGCCTAGTGAGGTTGAAAAATAAAAGAAATTGCTCCTCAGCAACATTTTAGAATTTGTCTACATCTGAGTTGACCTCGCAGTGGAAAGCTTGGACTAAATGGTTGCTGGAGGTCCTTGTTTTGCTGTTCCGGTGGGTACTTAAATAACGTTGGGAGTAATTGAGAGCATGGAGAAGTCTTTTCTGTTGTTTGCAAACTCGCCTGCCTAAGCGTGCTCTGACTTGAAAATTCCTGGAAACATAAACCCAACTGTTTCATGATCTTGCGGTATTGATATTGCATTCATTATGGTGATTCAAAATACCACCGTTATTCCATATCATTGCATTTGCGCTGGCTGGTGTCGGCGGGGGGCACGGTGCAGAAGGCCCCGCTCAGCTGTGCTCAGTGAACACACCAGGCGCTCCCTCCTTACCGGTGGTACCGTCTTCATTCTGGTGATGGCTCGTGGCTACTGTCTCTTGCTCTGACTGGTTCTGGCATTTGCCATTTTGAGATAAAGGCAAAAATAATTATGTTATTGTTTCTTCGGTATATGGTTGAAAGAAAGATATGGAAATGTGAATTGTAATTCTTAGTAGTTAGTTTCTGTCTAAAGTTAGTTTTCACTTCTCACAAACACAGTTATTTCTGACGTCCAAGAATCGCTTTCTCTCATCTTCATAAATATTTTATATGGAAATTAAAATTACTGTGGTGGGGAGAAGAATGTTACAATAAGTATATTTTTAAAGAGCGTGCTTTACTTGTAAATAAAATATTAGAATGTTCCTGTGGTTTGTATGATTTGGAGGTGACATGCAGGATTAAAAAAATCTGCATTGTAGACATCCCTTCAGGAAAATGTGCATGGTATGTTTCCATCTCATGTAACATAATAAGTGATTATGTTCTTAGTAAGAAGTATTTTAAGCTAAGTTAAATTAAACATATTCTAAATCAGATGTGTTTGGTCTCTTAGATAGAAAGCAAGATAAACTTGGGCAATTACGTATTAATGTAGGCTAAAATATTTTCTTTCCTGTTCTAGGGAGCTGTGGGATTTAAGATCTTTTCTTCTAAGAAAGTCTGCTGCTTCTACAGCCTTCCATCGTAGCGTGGAATTGATGATTTCCCTTGAAATACTTACCTGAAGATACTGACCACAGGAAAGGTGTAATTGTTCATAAAAAATGTTAAAAGTTCAGCAGCGCGTGACAGCAAAGAGGATGCCCAGGAAAAGACCGTACATTTGTGACACCTGCTATAAACAGTTTGAAACTCCATCAAAATTAGCTAGGCATTATCTGATACATACTGGTCAGAAGCCATTTGAATGTCACGTATGCCATAAAACTTTCAGACAGCTAGTCCATCTGGACAGGCACCAGTTAACCCACAAGCTGCCTTTTAAGTGCATTGTTTGTCATAGAAACTTCAAAAACTTAATCACATTTTTTAAACATCAGCAGCTTCATAATGAAAATTACCAGAACGATATCAAGCAAGCAGAAGAATCTGTGGATTCAAAGCAAGGTAAGGGCTTTTGTGGCGTATTTCAATGTTCCGTGTGCTGGAATTCTTTTACGACTGAGGAGAGGTGGATGCTCCATCAGTGCCCAAAGGCAGATGATCTACGTAGCACCAGAAGGAGAAAGAAAACTCACCCTTGTGAGTCATGTAACAAGACATTTCCATCAAGATCTAAGCTACAAAGACACTTTCTTATTCACACTGGCCAGAAACCGTTTAAATGTTCTTCGTGTGGTAAATCTTTCAGACAGTCAACACACTTAAAAATCCATCAGCTCACGCACACGAAAGAAAGGCCTTTTCAGTGTTGTTTTTGTCAGAAGGGGTTTAAAATACAGAGCGAACTCATCAAGCACAAACAGCTCCATGCCAGAAATAAGACTTTCCCCAATATTACATACAAAGCAAAGAATCCTAATCATTCCAGACCCCAGGTCTCACTGGAAGGAGAGAGGCGTAGTTTGGAGGATGCTGCGTCCCGAGAGAATGACCCGCGTTACGCTCACTCTATTTATGTTGTGCCCTACCAGTGCTCCACGTGTGAGCAGTGCTTTGAAACAGAACGGGTTCTAAATTTGCACAAATGTTTTTGTCTGAGTAATGACAAAAGTTCAAGTAAGGGTCCAGCAGCTTGCAGCCGCAAGGTCAGCATGAAAAATAAAATTATGGTGAAGCTGAAGTGTGCGGGAGAAAGGACATCAAATTCCTCTCTGCCTGACAGAAAAAGAATTAAACCGAGTCATTTGAAAAGTCGTGACTTGATTGCAGCGAGAGATCAGTGTTCTGATCAGAATGCTTCCACTAAACCTTTCAAGGATTGCCACAGTAAGCTTGCCATGCACAAGGAGAGCGGTCCCTGTGTCGTCACCTTGGCAAGAGCCCCTGCACCCTCCCGAGTTAGGGAGCAATGCTGAAGGCCGGCGTGTGGGGGAAGGAATGTTCAACATGGATGATTCAGTGCGTAAGGAAGGTGACAATTTTTATGGTTCATCACATGATGGTTTCTTTGATAATCCAGAAATACTTCACTGTGCTTTTTCAACTCCTACTAAAAATATACGTAAGAGACACAAAGTGTGCAAATGTGACAGATGTGAAAAAATCTTCCCTTCTTCATCCAAACTTCAAAGGCATTATCTTACACACACGGGACAGAAGCCCTTTGGCTGTAATGTTTGTGGGAAGACGTTTAGACAGTCAGCTCACTTAAAGCGACATCAGCTCACCCATACTGAAAAGAGACTCCGTAAAAGCCCCGTTTTCCAGGTGAGATGTGAAAATCTGAACAAACTTTTCAATCATCGGGGAAATCATGTTGAGTTTAAGTCTCCTCAGCCTGTGAGTTTTTCTCAGAGACCTTCACAGGTGTCTGGCTTCCAGGATTTCGAGCTGGCTCAGTCAAAACAAGGAGCTGAAATCAAAGTTGAAACGGAGCGTGGGGACTTTGTTCTTGATAGCAGCAGTGGAAACACGCAGCCCTGTTTGCGCAGCAAATCGCTGGAAGCAAAGCAAAGCTACTACACTTGTTGTTATGATTTTCCCGAAAGTACAGAAAAAAGTAAAGTTATGAAGAAGTTATATTATTGCAGTCTTTGTTCTAAAGCTTTTAAATCACCTTCTAAGCTTGAAAGACATTATCTAATGCATGCTGGACAAAAGCCATTTGAATGTTCAGTTTGTGGTAAAAATTTTAGACAGGGCTCACATTTGAAAAGGCATCATCTTACTCACTTCAAAAAGAGCTAAAAAATCAGTTCAGCTGAGTAGGATAGCAACCAACAGAGACTTTTTTTTATCAAAAATGGATAGTGTTTCATTAAGTTACATATGTAAAACTTTGGTTACATAATTACTAGAAGGCTTCTATTGACTGAAATGCATTCTCTCGTATGGTACAGATGACCTGATGAAAAGTTCTTTTACAGTCTTTAGAACTGTCCACTTGATGTAATTTGTGATGCACCTGAGAATCGAGTAAAAACAACAGCAAGGTAACGAAAGAGCATTTTGCGTTTCTTTCCTTCACGGTGAGTTTATAAATGCACGTTGTTCCTGCATTATTAGTGTTGCAGCAACTGGCGGCGCCCCCCAAGGCAGGTATTTAAAACGTGATCCCTCTTCCTGTCTAGTATTTTATGGCAGTACACTGTCCAATGACACTTATCAGAAAGTGAAGATAAAAAGGTAATTCCCAGCTTCCAGAAAAATGATCCTTTCACTTTCTTCTGCCTTCCTATGTGTTGCAGACAAAAGCACTTGCTTTGTTTAGCTCATGCTTATGATAGAGTACACTAGTACAGAATTACTAAAGTTTATGATCAATTCATTCTTTCACCACTTTGCTATTTCTGCTTCTTAATATAATTGCTGCCTTTTGTGGATTTTTGGACAGTTCACAAAATACTGAAGTATTTTTCTGCAAGAGGATAAGAAATTGACATTAGTATTATTGCACACACTCACTGTCCGTTTATGGAGCACTGGTCTGCTTTCCTTCTAGTGTACATTTTGCATCAGTTACTGAAACATTCTCTAAGATGGGATAACTCTGACACACAGTTTTACCAGGAAGTCTTATTTGCATTACACTAAATATAAGAAACTGAAAATGGCATTTAGGTCATATTAGTTTGTATTAAGAAAAACTGTAGGTATGTTTACTTTCTGGTAAGAAGGGAGCTTTTCCTATTGTGCCCCTGGGAGTGGCAAAAGCAATAAATTCAGTGGAACTTTGTTCATTTTGAGTAAGAAATTTTTCTTTTCCTGTGAGAAGAAAAAAAAAAACTTTTAGTATGTTCTCTGCTGTTGGCAACTTTTGAGTTGTTTTTAATTCTGTCTAAATTAACATAGCTGTGAGAAACATGGCATTATTTTCACTATTTAAATAGATCCCTATTTATTTAAGTAAACCGTTTTTGACATTTTAACTTTTTGAGCTGATTTATCTAGGTTTTGTTGTGGCATAAACTCTGTAGTATTTGGTATAAATGAAGTGACAGTTGAAGGGATTTCTTGAATTTTATTTTCATACATGTGATTCTTTCCCATCTTCAGAGAGATTAAAAACAGGCAAGATACTTGGAAACAGTCTGTAGTTACTGTGATCTTTGTACGATAGGCTAATTGAGTATCTTTAAGATTGACTGTAGCTCATACACTGAGATTTTTTTCTCCCTATGTGAATTGTTTCATATTGAAAGACAGAACAATGTATAAAATGTTTTGAAGGTGTACTGTAGAGCTCTTTTAACATACTTGTAATAAACTATTTATATTGTACTTTTATTGTACACTTAATGTGCAAAGTAGTTTTGAAACTACATTCAATGTGCAGAAGAGTTGAAGACTAGCTCTCAAAATAACTAACACTTTTGCATGGTAGAAGAAATAGATTTTTTTTTCCATTTTTTTGCTATAAAAATAAAATATGTTTAAAGAGAATAAGATCCTTTCTTTCTTAAGGGGTTGCTTCTGAGGGAGGAATGGACGTAAGTGGGAAGTATTGCTCTCTGATTTATCTGGAAAGAGCAGCTCCATGGGACTCCCTGGGATTTGAGAAGGGCAGCAAGGGTAATTTTGTTTATCTGACACTGCTCCTGTACTTGCTCATGTTTCCTGGGGAATTTTAGTGTAAACCAGCTAAAAAAGGGTGAAGAGTGTCCTAAGGGCTAGGGGAAAAAAAAAAAAGTTTCAAAACTTGTCTCTTGAAGTCACAGTAAAATTCTCCAAACACCTTTGAGAATTTGAGCTCAAGTGAATTTCCTGACATTAACAAGACTTAAATAACACTTGGTGTTGTTCTTTAGTTGTAGCATAAGAGTTGTGGATTTTTGAAGTGCAAGTTTTAACCTGGTTAGGTTTTGATGAGATGCATCTGAGAGGCATTATAAGGAAAACTGGAGTTTCCTTACCGAAGTGACTTTTATGTTACCATACACATTTTTTTTTCCAGGTTGAACATATGAATTGTATTTCTTTATGTAATGATTTCTTCATGTAATCATTAATTATGTCAAGCAGATTTTAAATAGCACTAGCTTCTGGGTTTTTCTTTCTTTTTTTTTTTTATTAAAAGTTTGCATCTTGAGAGTTCATGCAAGTGAAGGATTGATGAAAGTTGTAAGGGCAAGAAATCACACACGAAGACTCAGCTATTTCCTTGTTTGGAAGTCTGCAGTTCCAGCATGACAGTATCATGGTGCCTTTCTGAGTTACCACAAAATTTTGAATGTGTTTAACTTACGTACTCAATTTCTTTCCTGTTTCCTGGGTCTGCTAATGTATGACATGATTCTGCCAAGCGCCTGACTTCTAATCTGTATGTGCTCATTCTCATTTTTTTCCTATTCACTAGAATTTCCCTATTCCTTCTGTTGTACCTCATCCTAATTAGTATGGATCTGTGATGCCCGCACATGATTTATGGAGCGTCATGGAGCTGTTTTGCACATGTGCTGCCGTTGCAAAACCCCACACCAAAAACACCCCCTGTTTCTCTCCCTGATGCTGGGGAGTGTGAAGAGCAAAGGCTGTGGGGCTCTGCATGAGAAGGGTGGATAATGAGGCAGAATAGCGTGTGGAGAACGTGAGTGGGGCTTCAAATAACATGAGGGGAATGTGTGTCTTTAAAGACGTGTACGTGAAAGAGGTCTGCGGCCCGTGTGTGGGGCTGAGGGAAAGCAGAACTGGAGGCCCCGCGCCTCAGTGAGTGCCATGAGGGCCAGTGCGTGAGGATGTGGGGAGCTGGCCGCACGTCAGCTGCGGCCTGTCCTTCACCGAACGCGTTTGGGTGTTTGGGGTAGTGAGAGCATCTGGAAACCGGCCATCCAGCCTTGCCTCTGCCTGGTTCTCCGGATGTGGCACTGGAATGAGCCCTACTGACGTAGTGAGGGAGGGGGACGCAGGGAATCACGGTGCCACAAATCTATTCATAAGCTAAAAAAAGACAACCACGTTCAGGCGCTGTTTCTCATTTATATGGTTAATTGACTTGATTAAATTCCTACAGAAATCAAGGAATCATTCTAGTGTGCCAATCTGCATTACTTTATTGGTATCCATTTTAGTTCTTAGTAAGTGTTTGGGAAACTAGCTAGCTGAGGTACAGAACCTCTGATGTTGTCCTCAATTTGTATTTTATTTTGATTTCAAGACAGGATCATGAAAATCCAGTCGAGCAGGGAGCTTACTACTTGTGACAGTACAGTCCTATTAAACTGAGCAGAAATCTGCTAGGCCAGCTCAGGTGTTTCAGTCAATCTGAAGTTATTTTTTAAACTTAAAACACATTATGATTTTTTTCATGACCCTGAAAGCGACCCTGGATTAGTATCTTGGCAACCTAGTTTGCTGTAATCTATTTTATATTTTATCCTCTGTGTTTAATAATAGCAGCTATTAACACAGTGATCATAAAATCATAAGAATTCCCTCAGGCAACCCGTAACACATCTGATAGTGCAATTAGCACAAGAGAAATATTTATTTGCCAATGAGCTTAATTACTTAGTTTTTGTCACAGTAGTTCTTTTTTTTTTTCCAATAAGAGAAACTGTTAAAAGCTAAGAAAAGTATTTTTCAGTATTGCCCTGGTATCAACTTTGCTGTTTTCAGGTGAAGGTACTGATAAATGCCATTTTGTTCTCCCTTAAAATCCTGCCATATTAATGGCACTGACTACCCAAAGCCTACAAAATGCAGGTGAAGGCAAAGATGAAAGCGGTAGGTGGGTATCTGCTCAGAAACCCTATGGATAGCCACAAGACAACTGGCAACAGCTCTCAGCATCTCAGAATTTTTATGCTGTAATTTATGCTGGTAAGTTTTATGCTGTGCACTAAACAAGCTTTCATCTCTCTCTGCAACCTGTATTTTTTTTTTCTACATTGTGAGAAAGATGTGCTCGAATATTTACTTTTCCAATGATTCTGCAAATAAACTCAACTTTTCCTAACACTTCTCGTGCTGGCACCAGCAGAAGGGAAATGCTGACTTGCCTCAGCATCTCATTTCAGCAATGAAGGCCTCATGTTCCTCCATAAAACAGAATTATCTCAAGAGACTTTTTTTTTGGTGAGAGATTGATGCTGTTGATTTTGTAGTTTGCAGAGGACAATGCTGAACCCTTCACATCAAGTGGTATAATTTTATTCATATTTTGATTGTCTAAGGCACCTCAAAGTTCCTTCAACCAGGATGGTAGGAAAGTGCATCGGAGTTGCTTACTGACTTCAGGTGCTCTTTAAGGTGTAAATCTTCCCTAAAAACAAAGGTCGACCCTCTGATGCCAGGACTATTTAAGAAAGATGGCCTTGCTTATCTTTTGATGCTAGATGTCATTCTGTCAGTGAAAAATATTATGGCTTACAATACAGAGTTTAGGATTCAGGAGAAAGCAAATGTTAAGGCAAAAAAAGATTAGCTGCTTGCTTGTTATCACAGACAGATGCTGAAGAAAATGTCATGGACACCTTTTAGCAAGAGCTGGGAGAAAAATATGGATGCTAGTTTAGAATTTCCTTCGGTTCACTATTCTAGTTCACTATTATACAATAAGTTATAAAGGGTAAATCTGTTAAGACTGAATGTTGTTCTAAAAACTAGACCCTCTCCTTAGTTTTGACATAGTTCTTGCACAATGTTAAGCAAAATATACGATGAAGGCTTACTGCAGTTTGTTACTGTGTTTGTTCCTCTTCTTTGGGGTACCAGCTTAACACCTTTCCTGTGACTTGTAGTTGTACCATCTTCTTACAGCTTCAGCTCAATTCAGGGAATCCTACACTGGGATTTAGCATACACTGCAAAGCTCTGCATGTAAATTTAAGCAGCTATCATCCAGGTTTTTCCCCCACCATAAGCTCTTTCTCAGTCCTCTCCCAGTAAAATGGGGACAATACCACCATGCTACAGATTTTGTGAAAATGTTAATATTTGTATAGCATTCAGCTAATATAGCTAATATTTTCCTTGAGAAAAGATCAAAGGAAATCAGTAATTCAGAACAGCACTTGAATGGCATAAGATATATAGAGCTGCACACTTAACAAGGAGGAGCTCATTAACTGAAAACTCTCTGATGATGTCCTGTCATTCAGAGTAATATAATGCATATTCACAAATCAAAACAAATTGAAAATGCTCTGGAAACTTTTTGTGTTTGACGCTTCTTGAAGTGTGCATACTTTGCAACTATAATTGTTTTGAATGTAGTTTTATGTGAGTAATTATTCCACTAAAAGCTTAAATTTATGAGGTCTTATCTTTGGACATTTGAGCTTATGGATAACCCGTTATATAAATAACTAAATCAAAGCCATATTATTTTGAAAGGTCAATATGAAATATTATTATAGCATTTTTTTGGTACTATGGCAACTGAACAGTTTTTTCTACTCACACACTGTGTAAAGACGTAACAGTTCTGCCAGGCTTACTGAGAGGGTTGTCTAGGATTTTCCTACCAGTAAGGAATTCCTGCTAGACGCAGTATTTCTGTTACCAATTCCTGATTTCTGTGACAGTTAAGAGTGGTACAAATAAATATTGAAAAAGAAAAGAAGGTATTTTTGAAAGGCAAAACACCACATGGTTTGAAGAGGTTATGCTGTGTTATGTATCTAGAAAGAAACTTCCCCATTGGACATATATCACATAAATGGCTCCCAGAGGGTTTCCAGCGTGAATTTCTAGAGCACTTGGAATTGGCCACTGGTTTCTTAGGTTCTTGCCACTGGTTTGCTCCAGGTGACACGAATCTATCTAAAAACGTCTGGAGAGAATTAAAATAGCCCAAATACTGCTCTAACTTGGCCTGGTAGCCAAATGTGTCCCCAGCACCAGAAAGCTGAGGATGACATAAACGCTCCTATTTCCCTGTTTCCCTCATGGAGGCATTGCTTGCTATTCCGGGATACTAAAGCAGCTGGGTTGCTGAATTAGCCATATTCTTCTCTAGTCATGAGCTCAGAATTTCCATCGAAGTTACTGTAAGTTTTGCACAAAAATCAAGGGCAGTATATTGGCCAGAACGTGTGCTAAATAAATATTTATACACAAATCAGAATGCTACTGACGGCTTCTTTACACTTTAAAATTCTAAATATTTAAAGAAGCATCTGTTACTAAACTGAGGCATCGTTTCTGAAAGTACCCATATTTACTGAGTGGAAGTACACATATTTGAAAGTACACATATTTCCTGAGTGGGTACTCATATTTAATGAGATGAACACAAGTGACAAACTCTTGGGCCACAAGAATATACACAAGAGTAAAAGCAACATGATGTGGTTGAATTAAAACCACAATGAACAGACAGAACATTTCATTTGCATGAATATTAGCTACTACGAAAGATAAATCATAATCAAAGCAATAATAATAGTGGTTACCCTATTATTGTGTGTGCCTAAACTTTTAGAATGGTAGAAGTTTCGTATGACCTTTTGCGAGAAGCTTTCTTAATTTTATTTACCAGAAATCAGGTTCAATCAATGTATTTGATATATTATTTGAACAGGTAAGAGACAAGAGGTTCCTGCTCTTCTTCGAATAGTGTACGTATTATTCTGTTTCCAAGCCCTGCTTGCCACCATCTCTTTTCAAAACTTTTCATATTAACTTTGCAATTAATACTTCAAAATTCTGCATATTTGTAGTCACTTTTCTAAAAGAAAAGCTGTGTGTTTATAAAGGCACACGATGAGACCATCCTCCTGATCTTTCTCATGTCTGGAGCTTTCCATTGCAGGGATCCTCAGAGGGTTACGTGCTTATTTGTAAATGTCAAGAAGCTAGAGATAAAACTTGATTTTACAGGACTGAAGTCTCCTGAGCCTTACGGTCTTGCTTCACAGAAAGGCCACTAAACATACGGCTTATGTCACTGAGGTGGGGATTCGCCTGCCCTACGCTGAGGTAGCCAGGTGTAGTTAGGCAATTCCCCCAAAGCTAAGCTTATGTGTTTAGTATAACGTGATTGCATTAGACCAGAGAAAAAAGCTACTGTACCAGTGAGATGTACTGTAGATATCTCGAGCCTCATCCTAAGCAGCCCTATCAATGTACCTTGCCCACCCGGATAACTCACTTGCTCTGGCTTGTCTTTTCCCGTTTTGCATCCAGACAAATCCACTGTCAGAGCAATGACAAATCTCTTTTGGAAAAATGGCTGTAGACATTCCCTTTGCCTCTGAGTTATGTATCACAAGGTCACAAGAAACACTAGGGGCGTTCAACATAAACAGAAAGGAGTAGCGACTGCAGTTGTAGGCTGTAGTGTTGCAGGCTGTGAAGGGAACAGCCCATGCATCGCTGTACCTGGTCAAGAAATGAAGCACAGCAAAGCCTTGCAGGAGATGGGGCACTGGGTCTCTGTGCCTAGGTTGAACTTTCGCTGCCGGACCGGGAAAAACAGCCCCAGCAGGAGGGCACGGGGCAGGAACACGGCGCTGCTGGCGGGCGCTTCCCGGTGCCACCAAACGGCTCCGGCGGCCGGAGCGCCCGCGGCTACGGGAGCAGCCTGCGCCCGGCAAGGGGCTGGCAGCTTCCGAACCACAGCCGATGCCAGGGGCCCTGCACGGCCTCTGCTGCCCGAGGCGCCCGCGCTCCGGGCAGTTTGCACAGCACCACCCCGGCACCGCAGAGCACCGCAGAGCCCCGCAAAGGGCCGCTGCTCTGCCAGGGACCGCTGCAGCCCGCGGCACCGCGTGCCCCGGGGCACAGCGCCTGCTCATGGGGAGGGCAGCCGCCTGTTGAATGGTGCTGGAGGGCCTCGGCCCCGCGAGGTAACACCCCGCGCCGCCAGCGACGAACCCCCCCCCCCCAGCGAAGCGGTGGCGGCTGTCGCTGCTCGGAACAAACCTGTCCCGCTGGAGCCGGGGTAGGTGCAACATGGCACCCACCTGGAATCGCATCTGCCAGCGCGGGCTTCAGTTAGGAGGTCTAAGAAGCTGGAAGGGTTTAACACTCAGAGCATACATGCCTGGAGGATTTGTATGAAAGAAAAACAACAGAAAGGGAAACTTTTTGATATTAGAAATATATAGGCGCTGAATCTATTTTAAGTGGAGAAGCGTTCTAATTGGTAGGTAGGTATTACGGCGCCCAGAATAGGACCACCATGGGTTCTTACCCTAGAAATAATCCTCTTTAACTGGGTTAAGATCTCCAGTGAAACCTAGTCAAGGCTGCCCCCTTGAGTATATTTTTGTGGAGAAGTTTCCAGGTAGCAAAATTCCAAAGTCTTCAATCAGATGCCTGCCTGCTTGAAAATCCGCCTAGTATGACTTAGAAATGGAGTGAAAACAGGCTGTAATTTAAAACTACTACAAAGTCTTTATAAATAGTGTAATAGGTGTATTTTTTTCTGCTAAAAGTGAATTAAGAATATTTACCCCTCACAGAATGTACAAAATGCAAAACACTGCAAATTCAGAATGCTCTTACTTTATGAGTTAATAATTAAATAATTTATACCATCAACATGTGACAAGTTAACACCATAGCCAAGATACAAGCTCACAAATTTCTGATTCATAGAAATTGTCACCAAATGACTGAATTAAGTTTTAAAGGATTAAACATCAGAATTAATCTGTAATTCATGTCTCAGTGAAGAACCTAAAATAATCCCAAATTTTTAAAAATAGTATCAGAATGCTTTGTGGGTATATTTTTTGAGTACTCATTGCTAGAAATCGTCATTTCTGTAACTAAAGGTAGAATCTGAAATAATCTATAAGGAAGAAAGGATAGAACATGGAAACAACCTCTGCTGATTATCACCAGATATTTCCTGAGACACAGATATTGTATTCTGATAAATCCCATTGAGATAAATGTAAGAATGTGGCCAGCTTATGACCTTGGCTTTTACAGTTTTTTTGCTTGCTACAAGAACACAGAAGGGTAAGCATCCAAAACAGGGATGCTTGCTTGCTAGTTAAGCAAGAAAGCAGCATTTAATATAAATTGACCAAGAATATATGCAGCCTGGAAATTAGAATAATAGTCTTGAAACTTGCATCTACTCAAACATGTGACTTTTTAAATAATATATATCTTTATGAATGAATTAACAGATTTTTGAAGAGAAAGAATATTTGATTTTCTTGACTTTGCATTAAGTAAGTCAACGAGTACGAAAGCTGGGGAAGTTCAAAGGGGGCTTTGGGCAGGAGGAGTGCAGGGTTTCCTTTCCCCCCTTGACTACAAAGCACTCGAGGGTGGAGGGTGAGAGACCTGTCTCCGCGCTGGGCAAGCCGAGTGCAGTATTCAAGAGAAGAGCCTTAACGGGCAGTCGTGAACCCGGTGAGAGTGGCTGGTAAGGACAAAGGCACCATGTTAGCATCAGTATGGCTGATCTCAGGACTCTTCTTCAAAAGTCTAGTTGCTCTTGATATTTGGAAGTGACAAATCTTGCCAAAGTACTTTTGATATTCTTTTACATCCCTACATCATAGTACTTTATAACTAAACAGTAGCCCCTTAGAAACAACACTGTAATGCATTATTTGTAGGGAGGAGATCTTTATCACTTCATTTCAAATTGCTATCAAGGGATGTAATCATATTGCCTAACACTGGGCATCTACTTTAGCTTCCACTACCAGCAGGGGCTCCTGCAGGAGATGACTCAGAGCACTTCAGTGAGAACTGACTTGCCTTCTGGAAGGGTCTGTGTCTCTACACTGGCTGTAGAGAAGTCTATGGCAACTAAGCTCCCCATTGGGACACACAGCGGCCAAAAGCTAGGTCAGTACGGACTCATCTCTGAGCTTTCACAGTTTTGATACTGCATGGAAATCTACAGTTTTTGAGGGATGTTTAACAGGATTGATGTCTACCATAAGCAGAGGTCAGCCATTGAGATAGCTGGAATGGTTTAAACTAGACTTGCAAAACTACCTGGGAATATTCAATGGCACAAGTCCAAAATCTGTTTGCCTGCCTACCTTTTGGTATGGCAATTTGGTATGGCAAACAGATCATCAGTAATCATCACATAATGTCTCCTAAATGTATCAAACAATGTCTTAAACACAAATTAAACGTAGAGCTCCCATCTGAAAGCCACTTCTAGAAGCTTTCCTATTTTCAGCCTGATGGTATGTAATTTTCAATCCTTTCTCCTTTTTTTTTTTCAGCACTGATTTGTTCCTTCTCTTCCTGAATACAAACTGTTACAATTCTCTTCCTGATACTACATGCAAACATGTAGTACATGGAAACAAGCAAACATGTTGATTTCTGAGATGATGTATAACCTGTCAGGCATAAGACAAGTTAATTTTGGTACCTTAGTAGATTGTCTACTAGGTCAATCTTGAAGTTGCAGCCTCTGGATGGATTACTTTAAATTGAAGTATTTAACTTTGGCTGATTTTCATCACAATTTAAATGTCATACAGAGTATGTTGGTTTAAGTGTATTTTAATTGTCTACATTTGCATATCTTTATTAATTATAGCTCTCTCTAAAAGCTTTAATTAATAGACAGGATAGTGCTCAATCTTTGTTATTACAGAAATTACTATCAGTAGCTCTTGAAACCCTTTAGATTTTTGTCTATTTCCATATAGCAAACATATTTTCTGGATCTTGCAAAGCAAAGGAATGGAACAGGTGTATTTATTTGAATGCGGCCATCGTCTGATCCTATTCAAGATACTGTCACTACTTTTTCCATTTCCACTGTACATTCTAATTCAGCTTCAAAAAGAATATTTAGTTTAACCTCTTCTTGAAGAAATGAAATGGAGTTCACCTTGATAGCAAAACAAAGGAGGTCATATTCAAACAGACTGCAGTGATATCTGCCTGCAAGTTTGAAGGGCCCAAGTGGCAGGTCCTGGGTAATGAGCACAGAAACAAAGCACTGTAGCTTCTCTAGGGATTAGGTTAATTTCCTCCTTAATTAATCTGTTTACTAAATAGAGTAAGTTAATAGCAAGCCATTCTAAATCATAACCAAGTTGCTGGCTTCCGTAAGCATGTACTTCTTCCCTCTGGCTCTTTTGCCCCTCCTCTGCTCCACAGATTTTCCGTGTTATAAATACACACACCACATGTATCATGCCATGTACCCCATATCATGTATTTGAGGTGATGGAGCTCAGGATCCTGCAGGAGGAAGCCGGGCAATGAGCAGGATTGCAACCCTGGGCTTCGGGAGACCAAACCCTGGCCTCTCCGTGGACCTACTTGGAGGAATCCCCTCTTCGCTTCACTCTTGCTGATAAGTCCAACCCCCGGGTATCCCATGTCCTGGAGACAAGGGGGAGTCTGCAGAGAGGGAGACTCGCCCTTGCTCCAGGGCGATCATGGCAGAGACGGTTCAGGCAAACTTGGCACCCATGGATTTTCCATCTGCCCTGATACGATGCACCCACCAGCGCGGCAGGAGCCAGAGGGTGTTATTGCTCGGCTGGTCTTTTCTGTATTAGCTCTTGTGTAGTATTGGGACTGCACACTTTGCTTCAAATATTGAAGTAATGATAGCAGTATTCACTAGGTGTATTTACATTACACAGCATTTAAAGAGAGGGCATAGAAGCAATCATAAGCTTGGTATGTTCCTTGGTGTCTGTCTTTACAATGTTTTCAGATGGTAAGTATTTTGATCATTCTTTTTCCTTCGTTTTTGCTAGGGATGCACTAATATCCTGGGTCATACTTGCTTTGAGAATGAGGTCCTTCCCTCCACGAAGCACCAGATCAGATCCCAGGTGTCGCCTGGGCCTCCCTGTTCTGCGTTTGGAACGTGTTACATTCTCTGTGTCAGTTTTCCCTCACATTTTAGGGATGTTTTAACACACTGGCCTTGGGCTATTCCTATTGCAGGATTAATTACTGTAAGTAATTGTGACTGTAACGTGACTAATTTAAATACATTACAGAAAGAACATTAGCACAGACGGGAAAAAAAAAAAAAGAAAAAAAGAAGATCTAACAGCGTGCTTCATGGGCCGTGCCCGACTTCTTT